AATTCCCGCCACTTTATCTCGATGTTGCCAGACTAGTTGTCACATTATTTTGTACTGTCAAAACATTTCGTTCGGCATCTTCAAGTTTGATTTTAACTTCACAAGTACTTTGCAACATAAACAAAAAGTGGTAAATAAATATTAATGTACACAATGTTTCTGTCATTATTTAATATTCTTTTTTATTATTACCAGGATATAACCCACAAAATAAAACAAATTCTTCACAATGTCTTCTCATATGAGTACCAAAGAAAAAATATTGCACATAGTGGACGATATTGAATTAATATCAAAAGAATTGATAGAAAACCTGATTGCACCAAAACAACAGAAGTTGTCCAGCGCTGATCACCAGCTTTTGACGGAGCTTCTGGTTTCAAAAGACAAGGATTTAAAAAATGCTATGAAACTTGCATCCGAACAAGCTGCTATTGAAGTTAAAATTAATGCAGTTAAATCGGAAGTTGAAAGACAAGTAAATATAAATGATATAAATACAGTTTACCTTTGTATAACACGGGTGTTGATTTTCAAAATCTATGTTATAATTTATGAAAGAATTAGTACAAAATTGAGGTTAGGTTTTATAATTTAAAGACAATCATAATGGAGATAATAATGTTTATTATTATTTTCTTGTACTTCTGTTATTTGCGATTCCTTGCTTTTAGTGAAAAGATTTTTATATATTTCTTTATTAACGCTAAGAACTTGTACAGTTTTAAATTTTGTGCTTACTTTATTTGAAGAATCGTTATTTGAGAAATATGAATATCTGTTCAAGTAAGCATAAGCCTTTTTTCTGCAATAACTTATGCGCTCGAACGTAAAATGCTAAATAATTTCACTAATTTCAAATTATAAAAGTTTGCTTTTAATCGATTGTATTTTATTTTCTTTTTTAGAATTTTGCTCAATTTTTGAATCATATTAGAGTGATTATAAATTTTATATAAGTATTGTTATTACCTGTATTGTCTGTATCTTTACTTTGATAGATATTTGTATTGTACTGTCATATAGCAGTTTTTAACTTTCACACATTTTAATTAATATTGTGCATCTTTTTCAACTAGGACCAACATATATTGCAATTCCAAAGACAACTGAAGGAAGCCGAACAAATTTTGTCAACAGCATTATATCAAGCAAGACAAAAACTGCAAAGTATTAACAAAGCTAACAAGAAACCAGTTTCTACTGAAGAACTTATAAAATACGCTCACAGGTTAATAAATTTAATAAGAAAGGTTTATTTTTGCATAGAGTAGGACAGGGCACAAACATTTAATTTAACTTTAATATTGTGAAAATTGAAAAAAACATATTACAATTAATTTTCGAACTATGTTCAGTAAAATTTCCAGCTATTTTATAATTGTAGAACTGTATATTTTGCTATTTTTCTAAAATTTCTATCTGTTACTCCAGTCAATAGAGCGTTTTGGGTCTGAATTTTTTTTACTGTGCTCCAATTTGCATGAAATTTTAGAATTAGATTCATCTTATCCTAAAGTTCAAAAGTGAAAACACTATTCAATCTATTTTATTTATAATCTAAATATATATTAAACATAAAGAACAAAATTTAATCAACTCTTTAATTTCATCATCATAAATCTTGCTTTTGTATGTATTTCTGTTGAACTTATCATAATTAGTCATTGTTTGTTGAAATACACTTATCACAAATAAGATAAATATAATTCTGCTTGAAATCATATTTTATGGACAGGTCTTTTTACAAAGATCTTACTATACACAAACTTTGTATTCACTCTCGAATCTTCAAGCCCTATTCTACCCTATTTGAGTTGCATACTAACCTATTACTGCTTATCAATTTTATAATATTACCTTTACCCAGGATAAGTTCTTCCAATGCAGTTTGCGCTCCCCTAACCTGGCACCAAGGCGACATGAGAAGACCGTACCCAACCGATTTAGAAATGAGATCAGGATTCCTTAGCAGACCCGATCTTCCATTAAATGGTCACGGTATCCCTCACCAGAATATTGTCAATGATGTCCACCGAGGAGGCCATGCAGCCGACATTCCTGCATCATCACAAAGTCAATTTGCATGGCATCCATCTGGGGAATTGCATATGACGATGGGTTCCAGCGGGGGCATGGTCACGCTTGATACTAGAGCTTCTCATAAGGAGACTACGCAAGATGATATTGAAGTTATGTCCACGGATTCGAGTAGTAGTAGTTCGAGTGATTCACAATGAAGATTTAGAATTAGGATGTATTTAAGGATATTTTGTTTAAGGAGATATTTTCATACGAGGTTAGTAGGGAAGGAGTATTAGAAATAAACAAAAATATATGTGGCAGAAATGGAACTTTCTAATGTGGAAATGAAAGTGAAAAGCTGTGGAAATTGATTTTTAGTGAACTTGTTAAGACAAAAAATCATGCTTTAGATTAATTGCATGGAAAAATACTCGAGTCACAGCATTTTCAGACAATTTCAAACATTTTCAGATAATTTACAAAATTCTCAAGCAATTTACAACATTTTCAAGCAACTTACAACATTTTCAGACAACTTTAATAATTATTTTATTTATTACAACACATTTTTCACAATATTTTGAGAATTATAAAATTTTATAACTAATTCTTATAATATTTATATTTGTTTAATAATAATTAAAAAATTATATGTTGTTTTATTGTAAATATAAACTTGCCTGTTTCAGTTGCAATTATTACATTAAATAAAAGCACTGTGCATAGTCATAATTATAAAATATTTTAAAAATTAAACATAATTTTTAAAATTATTCATTTTTCAAATTCAAATTATTGCGCGCTTTGCGCCCTGCTTTACCGACGTCGGCAGCCATTGCTCCGATGTGAAGTATGTCAAAGTATCAAGGAGTTCCATTAGTGCAGATCTATTTATAAATGATGAGTGTTTTAAATTAAATATCAAAGGATTTGTGTTGAATTTTATCAAAATAACGTGCATTAAAAAGTGTTAAAAGGATTTTCCAAATTATTAAAGGTAGGAATGCACTCAAATTGTACATGAAATAATTCTATTATGCTTGTAGGGTTTGGCATTGTTTATATTTGCCACACCCCGGTTTAATTGATATTTATTATTGGAACGAGTATAAATAAGGATAAAACTCGGGTTTGCATTAGACTTTTGTTGTTTCTGATGTATATAGTTTTTGTTTTTAGTAATAATTGATTTGATTGAGTTTCCATTTAAATTTCTCAACTTGACAGCATATCTGCATTGCAGTCCATTTTGGATTTGTAGAAAACACGTCCGCAAGGATAATATTGTAATCATGTATGATTGTGTGTGAATGTACATAATTAATTAATAAAGATTTATTAATAATATTTATGGTGTGTTTTGTGTGTGCTAAATATTAATATTAATAATACCACGAAATATTTTTGGACTTATATTTTTTTTATCTTTCGAATAATGTATTTACAAAGCCCTTTTACTTTTTATTTTTTTTCATTCTTCAAATAATTGTTTTCCTTTGATAAAGGATACATTTTTAATTAATTATCTAATTTAGTTATCTCCAAATTATTTTATTTCTGTGTTTTTAATTAAATGCCCTTCAAACGAATTTAAAATGATTTTGAATATATTGATTTTTATTTTTGTACCGAACTATTCTTAATGATAATAATTATAATAATAATAATAGATTTTGCAGCGGAAGAAGTTTTCAAGATAAATTTTATTTTTGCTTTTTTTTCTTCATTCCTTACTTTTTTATATTTTTTGAATAAAATCATAATGGTTTTTTTATAATTATATTTTATATTATTTATAAATTTATTTATTTTTCTGCTTCGTTTCATTTTAATAGTTTAATATTTTTCTATAATTAATAATTTTTAATTCGTACGATATCGACTAAATAATTTATATTTTCAAATATTTTTTTAAATCGCATATTTGTTTTTTATTCATTTATTTATTTTTATTATATATTTATTTTAAACCTTCAATTTTCTAAATATTTTTTTGATTTCTATTTACCAGAATTTTTGAGACAAAAATTGGAAAATTCTAATAGAAAAAGGAAATAAATTTAATATCAATTTTCAATTTTAATTTATGTAAATAAAATTTTATTTGGAGAATTTTTTTATTACATATTATTGACAAAAATTAAAGAAAATCTAATTAAATTAAGCTAAATTTTAAGAAAAAATATACAAAGTTTATACTTCAAATACGATTTTTCTTTTTTTTTTTATTATTATTTTATTGGCTTTATAAACTGGTACATTAGCCATATACTAAATTACATAATATCTACACTATCTCTTACATATATATCATTGTTTTATGTACATTGCATTTATAATTTTATATTATTTGATTTGATGTAAATATAAATACGAATTTTAAATTTACATTCAGGTTAAAAATGTATATATTTCAAATGCGTTATTCTAATCGTAAGAAATATATCCTCAGATGGATTCATTCGGCATCTCTTGCTAATGTAAACACTCTCAAGTGTTTTGAGCGCTAAGATCGTCACTGTATATTTTATGAACGATAAAATATATAGTGATTATAATTACCTAATTGAAAATGTTCAAAACAATTGTTATTAATCAATGATTAATATTTATTGATTACTGAATTTTTTCCCTCGAATATTTAATTCTGGTACGGGAAGTTCTAGCAATTTGCTTTTGAGGCACGATGCCATGCACCACTAGTTAACTTCCCGTAGGGCAAGCTATATGAATAATTTAAAAAACATTCGTTTCGTATTGATAAGGAGACGTGCTGATTAGTTTTTGGTAGAGGCAGGTCTAGCCGTTCCGAAGATACGCGGCAAAAGGTGCCGAAAACGGTAACTCGGTTTTTAAGAGAACGGAGCGTCCGATTTCAATAATTCAAAAAATATTTTTTTTGTATTGACTAAATGAAGAACTGTTCAAATTTTTGGAAAGGCAGGTCCAACGACTCTGGAGATATGGAGGAAAAAGTAAAAAAATGAGCCATTTGGCGGTCAAAAATAAACATTAGACATATGCACATCAATTTATCGGATATTTTTTAGAGATTTCAAGAATAAGCATAAATTTTGTTTACATTCCTGTGGGTTCCGTACCAACGTGGCGTTTACGCGCTTTTATATTTCGTCTCTATGCAGTTAAAGCAGTACGATTGCTTTGAAAAAAGTTCAGAATTTCCAAAATACTTCAAAATAAATGATTTAAGATAGAATGATTTAATATGGTTCGAAATTCTATTAAAAGCTTCAAATCATTGATCAACTTTTTATTAATTATTATTTTAATTACTATTACTAACTAATTTAATTTTAATTACTTTATTGACTATTATTTTAATTACTCGAATTTTGAATTGCGGTACGGGAAGTTCCGGCAATTTGCCTTAAGACAGAATTCCACTTACAGCTAGTTTTGTTGGAATCCGGACCAAAATTGTTAAATTTTAAAGTTTACTTTTCCAAATATTCAAAAATATACAAAGTTTTATTCTTCAAATATCAATTTTAAATATACAATTCAGTTTGAAAATGTATATATTTCAAATGCGTTATTCTATATCAATGATAAAATAAATTGTGATTATAATTATCTATTTGAAAATGTTCAAAACAATTGTTATTAAATATTAATCAATATTTTTGATTACTGATTTTTTCCCCTCTAATGTTTAATTCTGGTACTGGAAGTTCCAGCAATTTGCCTTGAGGCACGATGCCATGCACCACTAGTTTATATATATATTTTTCTTATATGTCCTTTATTATATTAGTGACGCTTTTTCTGCCATTCGTAAATGTACGATAGCGGCGCGTCCCCTCCCATACAAAATGTATGTATGTATGCATTTGTCGGTGCGGTGTGTTATGTCATGGCGCCGATGAGGTCATTTAATGTTTCGGATTCCAGACTTCCTTCTCGACCGAATTGTGCGATGAACGATGTACACTACATCATAGTTATATTCAATCATTCATTATAAATATCTGAGGTTTGTGAAAAAGGCAGGGACGCATTCTTTAAAGATAACAGTAATGATAAGAGTGATAAGAGTGATGACTGTTATCGCTGTTATCAGCTCTTTTGGGGAATGGATTATTGGGAAAACTCGTTGTAGTTGTAAAGTAAATTGCATACTTAAAATTTTCCAGAAAATTTGATTCTGAAATCGAACGAAGCGTCCGATTTGAATGATCCAAAAACATTCAATTTGCAATGATGAGGAGTGGTGATTAGTTTTTGGCAAAGACAGGTCCAGCCATTTCGGACATACCGAGCAAAATGTGCAAAAAATAGCAGTTTTTGAGAAAACTTAGCATCCGATTAGATGATTCAACTAGTGGGACGCATGGCATCGTGCCTTAAGGCAAATTGCTGGAACTTTCCGTACCAAATTTTTTTTTTTTTTTTTTTTTAAAGATTAACATTTTTGAAAAAAAAATACTTCGAAAAAATTAGATTTTTGAGAAACTATAAATTTTTGACAAAAAATTACTTTTTTTTAGAAAAAAAGACTTTTTGAAGAAAAGTGTATTTTGAAATATTTTGGAAATTCTGAACTTTTTTTCAAAGCAATCGTACTGCCTTAACTGCATTGAGACGAAATATCGAAGCGCGTAAGCGCCGCACCGCCGTCTAACGGATAAGCATTGGTGCGGAATCCATAGGAATGTAAACAAAATTTATACCTATTATTGTTAATATCTCTATAAAATATCTAATAATTTGATGTGCATATGTCTAATGATCATTTTTGAACGCCAAATGGCATTTTTTTTTTATTTTTTTCACTAGATCTCCGAAACCGCTAGACCTACTTTTATGAAAATTTGATCAGTTCTTCATCTTGTTAATACAAGAAAAATGTTTTTTGAATTATTCAAATCGCTTCATCGGTGTTCCCGAAATCGTCTACTAAAATTTGTATCCGCACACACACACACATACATCCATTGTTTCTAAGGTATGCCAAAATGTTCAGAAGGTTTTCAAACGTAAAGATATATAAAAATTTTCATTTTCCATTTTTTGCGATTACTATAACTTGTCTATGTGTGTGTATGTGTGTGTATGTAAGTGCGGATACAATTTTTCGTCGACGATTTCAAGAATACGGATCAACCGATTTGAATAATTCAAAAAACATTCGATTCGTATTGATAAGGAGATGTGCGGATTAGTTTTTGGCAAAGACAGGTCCCGCCATTTCGAAGATACAGAGCTAAATGTGCAAAAAATGCCAATTTTTGAGTGAACTAAGGGTCCGATTGAATGATCTAAAAAACTTTCTGCTCGTATTGACAAAACAATTGCTTATGAGGATAAAAAATTATTACATTTTTCATAAAATATATTTGTCATCTTGGATTAAAAATTCAAAAAAAATTACCCCGGCTAAGCACAGTCTAAGCGCCACTCTGGTGCAAATGTTTACCCAAGTGCGTTTAGACTGTTTATGTAATGGAGCACTTTTCCAATTTTGTGAGAAAACTATTAAAAAATGTGAAAATGCCGCCAAGCTAAGTACAGTATAAGTGAAACTGTCGCACAGAAT